GTGTCCACTAAACCTCGCCATCATTTCTCAGGAGCTGTCTGAGCTCAGCACCTGTCGTTCTGCATACTGCGTTGAACTCAGCTCCGGCGAGAATCATTCGACGACGTTCCATTAATTGGAGAGACTGTGCAGAGATTCACGGACTAGCAGCTCGTCCAGCAAAGCCACAGACCATGGTAGCGGACGTTCGTAAGGCGCTCTGGATCTGTGCTCAGTGTATCTCAACATCGGAGGGTAGAGAACGTAGGTTGGAAGCTAATGTGTTCGAAAGTGCGCCGAGAACATTTGCGGCGGCAAGCATGTCTGTGTCAAGACGTTGCCGGCGACGCTATTGCTTGCCACCAAGGCGCAGAATGAACTTAGCATACACGAGCGCATGATCCGAAGTCAGGTAAGTGTTCCACATTGACTTGTAATCCGTATTGCAGCTTCGTCAACGTTAACTAACAGCGATGTGGTTAATCTCATCCAACGTTGACCAGGCGCCGGAGGTCGCCAGGTGGATCGTTGGCGCCAGGAACGTCGGAAATTGTTGCTGAAGAGGAACAAACCGTGATCGGTGCACAGTTGAAGGAGTCGATCACCGTTGTTCGTCCTGCGAATACCGTGGCTTTGTTGACACCCCGAGTTCGCGCTCATGAACCTCTAGTCTACTGACCTGTGCATTTAGTCTCCGGCGAGTATCACGATGTCCGTGCAGCATTTCTTGCGAAGGAGGTCGGTGAGTTGGCGGTAGAACTTGCTTTTAGCTTCATCCGGGCTGCAATCCGTAGGAGTGTACACCGCCACAATGAATAAGCAGCGCCTACTGGTCTCGTGGCTGGAAGATTGTACTGAGCTTTCCAAGCGGATTACCTAAAGACGGTTGTTGACCGGGAACCAGTTAATGAGCGCTTCCTCAGCAAGCGCACTTAACACAACTCCTACGTCGACGTAAGCAGAGGCTGCTGCTGTCGCATCTCCAGATAAGCGCAAAGTGAATGTGCTATTGGAACTTGGGGAAGGTGAGAGCAATAGCAGCGTTGTGCTGTACTCTTGTAAACGGGTTTCGGTCAGGCAGCAAACCTCGATTGAGTGGGTTTCCAAGGTGCGCGTAAGAGCAGCTTGTGAACCAAGCTGCATGAGAGTCCGATCATTGAGCGTAGCTAGTTTGAAGAGCGAGCGGGGTGCAATAAAAGCCTTGCACTTGGTGTTGGAATGTGCGCGATCAGTTTTGAGCGGTTCATTGATGAGGCCAAAGGTACCGCTTTTATTTGCATTACACTTTGGGAGACTCGAAATGGGAGGGGTTGCCAATAACAGGAGGGTTGAATAAACGTGGAACGAAGGAGAGGAAATAAATGAGAATATCCGCAGCTCGGGGTGTGGATGCGAATTTTGAGCTGTTCTCCGAGCTGAGGGATTGTTGTGCAGACGTTTGGTTGCCTGACTAGGCAAAATCATAAGTGCGGATTCAGGGGCCTGGTTCGCAGTGCTTCGTAAGCTACTCCAATCTCCAAGTGTTTATTGATCGAGTTCTGCTTTGAATGTCAAGCTTCAATGAACTCAAGTGCTTGCTGGCATTTAGCCCATCCGATGATACTGGCGTGCTCTAGGTCAGATTGGTGGTTCTTGGCACTGCGAACCAGGCCCCTTTAGCCACAATGATGATGTTGCCTAGTCAGACAACGAAAGGTCTGCACAGTAATTACTCAGCTCGGAGAACAATTCAAAATACACACGAAGGACATAGTTCGAAGTGCGGCAGAGTGAGGTTTATCATGCCCGGCCGCCACCACGTCGGCCAAAGATAGAGAGTTCAGAGAGCGAGGAGCCTGAGGAGAGAGTCGTAAACCCATCATTTCATGTGTTGTGTGGGCATACAGCTTCCCGGTTGATCAGGCCGAAGAAGGGCCTGCATTCATAACTTCCCTCCGCTGTGTAGTCTTTGCGACCTCATCATTTTCCTTGGAAGTGATCGTAGATTACTGGATAGGGTGTGCGGAATTTGTGATTTGTTCACGGGACAGGGCTTGACTCCTACTTGCCATTTATCATTTCTTTTTTCCAAAGCTTTGCTTGCTGGTTCTTTTGCAAATGTTTCTGATCTTGTGTTGTTGCTCAAGAAGAGGCGCTTTTCGCACATTGTGTCTAAGGTAAATCAAATATCCAACCGAGTATAACAACATTGATCAGTATGGAATCGGTTCGCTTACACAGTGGGTGAAAATTGTTAAAGACAAAAACCCGCGTTGAGTAGTGTAAAATGATATTCCGATAGGAACAGCAACAGCCAAATTTAAAGACCCGGCCTTGATGGCAGTAAGACTAATCTGCTGATATTGGGCAATTTTAGCCAGAAGACATCCCAGATCAGAAGGCATGCCTCTGACGGAACTTCTGTTGAGCTCCCGACAAAACATTATGTGTACACGAAATGGGGTCAAACCATCTAGCTCATGAGTGCATGATCTAGTTGTGTTTGAAATGACATTATTCGATTCGTTTCGGAACGCCATCGCCATTGCTATGTTCTTGGTGTCCGTCAATCAGTCGCATTGTCAACAACGCGGAAGGGGAGAAAACAAACGAATGATGGCAGCTATGTCGTCTGGTATGAAAAATTCGGAGGGATTACCGTAGAACAGTGGAATAGAAGTGTATCCAGCCACACTTGTTCACCGTTTTTCGGGCCCCAAAACAGAGAGCCGAGAGTTTCCAACTGAAGCTGGGAGCCGACCTCAGTAACGTTCGTGTTGCGAGTTACTTTGTTTCGCCCCCTCCCACTTAGCCTAATTCTCCAACTACGACCTTGTTTGACACGCAATATAACCTGCTTGGAGCCGCTTCCTGGTGAGCGATTTTTTGAATCGGAGTATACTTACAACATTACCCTCATCTGTGACCGCTCACAAACGTGCCAAGCAGCACTAGACCTACTAGCACTGGCTAGCAACTGCTTCAGGCATTGTTTCGCACCCTCAAAGCGCAAAGTGTTCCTCCAAGATTGTCAGGGACCGCCTCCTGTGTTGACCTTTGGTGAGGATCATCAAAAATTCGTTAAGAGATTTAACCACCAAGGCGATTGTATCATCGTCTGTGGAATCGAAGACGAGGTCACGAACGGTATAGCAAAAGCCCAAGGTGCTTTTGCTGACGTCCTCGGCGCGACATCACTCTCGCCATGAAGAGTAGAGTGTACAATGCAGCTGTTCGTTCGGCCCTACTCCACGGTTGTGGAACGTGGCTCATTAGATCGATAGACTGTGAGATGTCAGGACCGTTCGATCATCGCTGCCTTTGCAGCCTAGCTCATGTCTAGTGAGAACACCGTATGAGCACTGACAGCGTGCAGTGTCGCGTATTTGGTGCTTGAAGAGCGAGTGAACCATTCAGCACCGTTATGTCACGCTCCAGGCTCCGATGGTTTTGGTCACGTGTTGCGCATATTCGCACACCGATTCCCGCGCAGTGCGTTGTTTGCTCACTGAAAGTAGAGGAAATAAAAGGAGAGAGGCTAAGCGATAATTTGTCAAGATGGTCGAAAACCCACACTTCGAAGTCCCCTTTTTGTTTGGGAATGAATGAGTGAACATGTTTGTCTGGATGCACTTGCTGACATGGCATGGAGCCGACGTCAGTGGCTTTGCGTTATGAGTTTCTTTGTCCCTCTACATGCCGCTTAGCCTTCCCATTCACCCACGATCTCTTTTCCGACACATAATATAACTTTTTTTCGGCACAATGGGTGGTTGGTAGCTCTCCGCTACAGTTGGCTCTGCTGGCGTGTCCCAATTGTGTCTTTCTTTTCCTTTCCCATGTATTGCAGCACAATAGCCGTGGTATTTCGCACATCCAACTATCGTGTGTAATGAATGAGGAATGATTGAATGTTGCCAGGCTTCCGTTTTAAAACACGTGGTCGAGTTCCACAATGATTGTCTTTCTTATGCTGGGATTCTTGGATTTTTTTCAGCTACGTTTGATCAAGCGTGGTCGTGTGGCGACGGAGCACCGGCGCAATGTTGAGACGTTTAATTGTTGTTTTTAACATTATACTCACTGTCTCGAGCATTGGGTATGAGCGCTCATGTGCACCTGCCATCACATTGTTCGATACCATTGTGCGTTATTGTGATAGTATGGGCATTCCTTACTATCACGCGGCCGCTGGAGCTTAGACTTCAATGGCTGTATTTTGGGTTTGGAGTTGAGTAACTAAAGCAAAGGCGTCAACAGTACACCGATACGGTGCACTGGCGCTTCGCTTTGCTAGGACACGACAACCACCTGTCCCACACGGATGCGAGATACCGTGGGGCCACCCGCACTTCCGCACATCTGAACTGATAACTTTTGGGTTACACTACGCACGCCTCATCTCGTCGGCCATTGCCCGATATCTTGCACATTGGTCAGGGGACAACCGAACCTCTCCAATAGGACAACGACCAGTGCTTCCTAACTTGCCGTAGCTAAGCATTGTTTTCTGTATGCTATTGTCTGTTTAATACATGGAACTATATTTGTAATTTCATGAACGTCCTGAAACGGCCAACACTATAGATTTGTCGCGGAAACATTTCAAATTATAGTCTTACTTGTTCAGAGAAGCTGCTGACTCCGGAATGCTACGACTCACTGACCCCACTTGAGAACGATTCTGTTCAGCCTTATGACCCTGTCCAGTGCACCTGTATACCTGATTTTATGTTGATGATTAACGTCACACAAAGATTTGGAAGCATCTGGATTTTGCTGAACTTCCGGAAGTGCTACAGCTCATGGTGATTGTATCCGCTCCAGAATAACTGGTCATTGTTAGGCGAAGTTCTCTAGTAGATCAAGCACTCTTTCTCGTAAATACCAATCAGCACTGCCATCCGGTTGTGTTGAGTATCAGATCTAGCTACTTGTCATCATAGCCACACAGCACTTTAGAGCTTTTGTATTGTTCAACATTTTCATCATAAACTGTTACCTAAGTCTACCATTGTTTCATTTTCTTTCGCCACTTTTAGCGCTGCAATTCACCGGGTTATCGAAGGTATCGGCCTTAGACATCCAGATTCGTTCCATGTAGACAGCCCCGGCAATTCTTATCTCGATACAGCTTCACAGAAAAACTGGGCTGCTATCGGCGTGTGCCTAACTATCACTTCAAGTAGTCTTTCTGTGAAGTCCCTGCAAACGAACCGGGTGAGTTTCACCTCGCTTATTTGTGTCTGAACTTCTTTACTTCAACTACACGACGGTTCTTCATGGTTTTTATAAGCTACGTTAAACAATTTATTGGCACACCACTTTTGGAGTGCTTGCTCACGCGTCAGCCTCTGCTCTAGAAGTGGGAACACCAGAAAGGGGAACTAGCGAGAGTGCTATAGCAGCTTACGCAAGGCTTCAGTGTACTTCAAACTCAGCACTCACAATAGTGAATTGAGATCGTGTTACTTTCTTTTAGATGGGAACAGTCAAACACACGATACCCCGCATGTCACGCTTACCCTTTTCCCAAATAAACTAATCAGTATTACTAATGGGTAGGATTTTTAATGAAGTTTATTAATTCGCATGAGCAGAAAGTTAGTACGGCGTTGCACCACCCGCCATGGCGCAGTCGCATAAGCTGTTGGCTAGTCTGCACAAAATGCAAGCGGGCATGGGTTCCGTTCATGATGGAACCGGAGGACGGGCAACACTGACGAAACGGCCATCTGGTGGTTGGACTTATGAGCTATTGTGAGCTATTGGGACGAATCAGTAAAGTATCCAGTATTGTTTTGTCTCTCGTATCGAAGGATACCTCCTCACGACACTGAATTAGGGGGCCCTTCAATCGCCGGCGTAAAACGGTGGGGTCGTGCTTGATTAACACGGCTGCCACCGGGTCTCTGATTAGATGTCGGAATTGTGAAAAAATGCAGTCGTGCTCTATGGACTTGAATGCTATTAACCGGTTAGTAGGTGCGTTTGCATGGCGTGGTAGAGTTTGTTGTTGGAATCGAAGAACAGAATCTGTTTGTTGTTTTCATTGTGCCGACCGGCTCAAGGCAGACCATCCTGGGAACCGACTTCGCCGAGTCCAATGAGACTATTGTCGACTTGTGTCGAGGACGGTTGTTGACCAATCACGAGTACTTCTCGTTTCTTTGTGGCAGCGGATCTGTCCCTTCGCACTAGGACGTTGGTGTGTTACACGTGAACCCACTGTTGCTGTCACTCATATGTACCACGTATTTACGGACAATGGAAGTCCGTTTAAGTTTTGTTACTGGATCGAACACATCATTCTGCTAACCCAAAGCATATCGGCTACACCAGTAGATGATAACTAACCAAATAATTTCGTGTATATTAGTCAAAATGCTGTATACGATCCTAAGTGGCGGCGGTCATTTATCATCACCATCATCATCATTATACACGTTAGCTAGCGGTGGAAAACACCTCAGCTACTGTGCCGCAATACATAAAAGAACAAAATACGCAACATCTGCATACCAGCTGTGCTAACAGTAACGGATGGGCATCGTTCCAGAAAGCTGCCAGACGGCTACTACGCAGCAAAAGAATTTTATTATGCAAAATTATATTATGCTAAAAAATGCGACCGTAGTTGGAAGAGGTGGCTAAGAGGAATGGGGAGGGACAAAGAAACAAACAGCACGAACGGCATTGAGGTCGGCTCCTAACCATGTGAGCAAGTGGATCCAGCCGAACGTGTGTATCGTATTTTGGACCCAACCAGAGAGCCGAGACGCCCAACGGAGGCCAGCTTCGAAGTGAGGGCCTTCATTCCTTTTGACCAGATCATCGCTTGACCACCTCTCCTCTTCTTCTATCCACATTCCCGGTGCGCAAACAGCGCACGTCGCGAGAGTCGATGGGCTGGCATACGTAACACGTGAACTGGCCATCGGCGGTCATTTATACACAGGAGTAATGCTATGGTTTCCGTTTTTTGTGACAGTAATAAAATTTTTAGCTCATGAACTTTCTCACAGTTCTGCGATCCATTAGCTAACAGTGCATTGATTCAGTACAAATGTTTGTAATACTATTTCCGAATTTACTTCGTAGCGAAACTCGGGAGCAGTCAATGTTATCGTGAGTGACACCATTTTCGTTGTAGGGCTAACACTAAAGTAATGGTAAATTGACTACACGCCTCTTGCTGCTATTCATGTGTAGTTTATGCAGAATTCCGCTAGTGTTTTCTGTGAACCAAGTATCTTTAGCACATTCTGTGTAGTGGGGAAATCAATGGTGATGTATAAAATGTGCATAGTTCGCACTCGCGCGTACTTGTGATGGTATTTGGTTCCACAGATAGGGATTTTATGGCTGGCAAGTTGTGACAATAGTAATTGGCCACCATTACGGGTTGGATAGATAGGATCTTTCTCTGGATCAAGGGGGTTGCTGTCTGACAACACTTGCTTATTTATAACTACATGGTTTATTCTTCGACAATGCGAGTCACAGTCCAACTCAGAGGGTTGATCAAATGTTGAGGAGAGGAAGGAGATAGTCCTTCCACTTTCTCAACCAAAGTGGCTGTAATCGGAAGGGACAATAACGAGTACAGTAACTTAAGGTTGAGGAGCGCCCCATGGTGAGTTTATTAAGTGATCACTTGACACTTTTAAATCTAGTCTGTCTCTTAATTAGCTGATAGTGATGGCGCAGTACTCCATAGTTGGTAGCATACATTAATTTTGAATAGCTCAATTTGTGTTTCAGGTACGAAGAAGGTTTCAGTGAAGTAGCCAGGTAGCTGGCTCTCCTTTCCTTTTTGGTAGAGGACAGGTTTCGTAAGACTTGGAATACCTAATTCCTAGGTCTCGAATTGTGCTATCACCATGAATGCTAGTGCGTTCCGGGCTGCGCCATCTGTACCGTATCACTTCGGTGATTTCGCGTAGAACTTCATTTTCAGGTATTCGCTAGATTTATTCAATGCGCATAGGTTCTCATGTATGCTTCGCAGGTATGGTTGTAGCTTGTCTGGTAGAAACGACGTGATCTGCAAACGAAAATGAGCCTCCGTCTCTGATGCGGTCACATATTGTTTATGCAGATTAGGAAAAGTAGCGGTATAAGCACACTTCCCTGCAGGGCACCGCTGGTTATTCGTTTTGGCGTAGAAGGTTGCTTGCCCATTGTGACTGTTTCGACTTGATCGTTTTGGTAAAAATCGGATCAGCCTAGCAGAGTGTTTCCAATACTATAAGAATCTGGCACAGAAAATAGTGGACTGTGTTGCACGCGTTCGAACGCTTTTTCATGTCCAAGAGATTTATGAATGCCATTCTTCTGCCAATCATTGTGGCAACATGATTTAAGTATTGTAGCCGGTAGATTACGCGGCAATCCGTGTGGTGAGTTATTGATCAGGTGCATTCGTGTAAGCAGTTGAACAACCCTGTTCCTAATTATTCTTCCTAGGCCCACAGAAGTGGCAGGGATGTATTTTTGCGGGTGATAGCTTAACACTTATTTCACGAGCTCCCTTGGTTTTCCCATTATTACGGATATATTCCAGCAAAGTGGGAAACAGCTTATATATATATATATATATATATATATATATATATATATATCGCCACTCGGGACCACTACCGAAGTGACGACGGGTCCTGCAGAGAACGTAGGCAGAACCGACGCAGCGTTTGTAGGTATGCTGTATTCGATTTACTAACTGCGTGCTTGCATGCTAAGTCCCTTTATTACAGGTGGTGGGTTTTCAATTTTGTCCTAATGCTTTTCTTTCTCATATAAATGTCTACCTGTACTCTCTTCTATAAACTTGCACACGTCGCTTAAGCCAATTGTAGTTGATTTCGATAACATTTTCGTGTTTGTGGTATTTCCGTAAAATATACTTTCCGACCTCGTGAACTTATCTCCAAATCGTTTGTTAACAACTTATTTCATATGCTCATTAATTAAAGCATTATGTCACAGTTTCCTCATACATTACTCGACTTATTTTATTTGTCATCTTTCTCTCAAGTGATTGGCTGTTGCTTGATCTCCCCGGTGTGGCTGCGCTTGATGTGCATGTTGACAAGGTGCCTACCTGTCTGTTACCCACTACCTCGTTCATACTGGCTCTAGGAGACAGTTGGTCGTTGCTGGAGGGGACGGGGTACACGGTCCTTGTGGCCGTTTTAGGATCAAAGGGTGGTTCTCTGCACTCATTGTGGAGCGGACTACGGTCCAGCCATCGCCTTGTGTGCGCTTGATTCCCAACTACAGCGTGCTTGTGTTTGCCTGTGAAGGAGTGTGGGCCGGCTCCGTTGATGAAACGTGGCTCCCATCCACATGCCTTCCGGTCTTAGTCATTCGGGTTTACATTGGATATGGGGTGTGTGGATGGAGCTGTGCGTGGTACAGCACAAGCCACCCATGGTCCCTCTGTATGCGCAGGCGTTCTGTGGCTGGCCACAGTGACAGGCAAATCCGAAACCGGATGTCGACAACCAAATCTATACATATATATATGTTTGTTTCAGTTACAGTATCAAGGCCAGAAATCAGTTCAGGACTTAGAATTCTTTTCGGCTGATTGTCCTGATATCTAAAAGTTTGCATAGCTTTGATAGCGTTAGCGAAGAACTATTTAGGCTCAACCCCCTCTTTAAGGAAATTGGTTACCCTAACAAATTTATCATGAAGCGAAGAGACCTCTTTTCGATAATTCTCCCCAGGCATTTACAATTATAAGAAAACGCGACAACACGATGATCTATCTAAAGCTGCAATAGTATATGGTGGCGTCACAGTTTTACGGGGAGATCAATGAGCCAGCGATGGATCAGTCAACGCATTCGGTTGATAAACGTCACGAGCTTTCACACCCCAAACACTAAAAGGCAAACATAATGAGAAAGAAATGGTTGCTTTGGCGTCAAAGCTCACAGTTAGTCCTGGGCATAGGTAGGTACGGACGGCGTCAATCGTTCCGGCCAAGGCAGCGTGAGGGCTTGTACGAGCGTCCTCTGCTTGAATAACTCGGGTTACAGCAGCTTGATAGCCATTGCTTCCGAAGTAGTCAGCAGGCGCTTCCTGAGTCCTTTTGGGTTTCGTTTAGACACGGCGTAAAGAACTTTGAAAGCGTCATCGGTCCGAACATAATGCCCCTTACTAATCAGGTGTTCAAGGACGGAGTTATGGGCATTCTTTACTGTACCGTG